CCGTCTCTTGGGGCTTTCTTTCGCCACAAGGAGGTTACGACGCGCATGAAAAGAAGTGTGCATCCTCAGGGCGCTGCCCCTTTTTTCGGCAATATTAAAACAAACCAAGCTCGATGAAGTGTTTTCATTGACTAGAGCACTTCGTTCTATCAATGAAGGAACTTCCAATTTTAGATCATGATTTCATTATTACAGAGAAAAATTCCTTAGAGTGTGGAGATCGACTTCTCACCGATGGAATCGTTCATTGAAGTTAGCTTGACTTCTTGCAAATGTGGAAGCGCCCTTAGCCAACTGGTTGATTCTTATTTTTCGGTTGAGTTCTTTATGAAAGGCCAACAAAGTGGTTACAAAAGCACGAACACAGTTGTTAGCATGAATTTAATAGATTCCAGACTTGTAGCCGTCCACATTGACTCCAGCATCGAAAGGAATAGAGAGCCAGTGTCTTGCGATGGTTGAGATAGATGTTGACTGAACGCAAGTCTCTGATGGGAGGGTCTCGTTTGCAATGTTATTTGCCTTTGAAAAAGGAGAAGGAGAATGAAGCAGAATGATGCCATCGATTTTCGCTTCCCTTCAATTTTTATCCTCAACTTCGTGTGCCCACGCACAAAACTTCATCTGCAAGTTTCCATTATCTCTGGGATTTTAGGTCACGACGATGTCAAGACGGTAGCAATCGATATCCTTTCCCAACTTCGGAAAATAATGGGCTATTCGTTTCTTCTATTAGCTCTCTATCCTGTCCTGGGTCGGTCTGGTGTCCGCCTCTGCTCCACTGCCAGGCACCGTGACTCATGACGATGGACGACAACGAGGGTTTCTGCATCCAATCAGCTTTCTCATGTCATGAAAGTCAATCAGGAGTTTAAATGTCGCGTAGAGGGGGCATCATTCCATCTCCACCACGTTTTGGTGACTTGCCAGAAGTGTTATGCTAATCGGGGAGAAAAGGGGACATGAAATAACTATCACGTCAGGTCGCCTGAACACGAAATTCCATTAGAATTAGAATCCCGCCATAAACCTTGATCTCTATGCGAAAGGAATTGAAGTGTGAGGCTGTGACGTCTATCCTCCATTTTAAAGTCTGATGAAATACCATGATAAGCATATGTATCTAAAGGTACATCTAAAAAATGTTCGTTAACTTTATTTATGAGTAAAAAAAAAACCGGGGAGGCAAGAACTTAAGATGTTTTATATATAAATATTCTTTTTCCGGGATTTCTCAGAGATTATTTAAACAATTTGGCGAGAACCTTTTCTTTTAAACTATACGAGAGGCCAACAATTATGGAAGAAACTAAAAGTGTAAGTCGAGGAAAATTTGTCATATCTGTTCATTGCTGTCTTTTCGCGGCATGCCAATGAACTATTGATAGATTCCTAACAAGTTTGTTCGAGCATGCCTAGGTTGTTCTTATAAGACTCCAATACTTCCGACCATACAGGGCACCCCTTCAGTGGCTGGAACTTGCCCTGGAAGGCATTGAAAAATACCGGATCCACCAATCTTGTGCATTTTAGGCTTTCATATGCCGACGCATGTATGGAACCGAAAACCGAGAGCATGAGAAATGTAAGTCTCTACATTAGAGACCTGAACTTTTCTATTCTTGAGCATGAATATATCCCCATATGTAAAAGCCTACACACTGATAAATAGGTGCTGCATTCTTCAATGCCTTCCTGTGCGATTTTCAATAGTACAGTATATCACATTTAAGAAGGGAGAGACGTCATCCTCTCATCCTTGAGAAATCTCATACCGGAAATTGCGGATGAATCTTTTTTACGACAAGACTGCGCATCTTAAGGGCCATGCTTGACAGCTATCTGTTCTCTACGTGGAATAAACCTTGCCTTTGGCGTCAGTCCTTGTGGAATGATGTAGAAACTTTCAACTATATAACTATTTAAACATCAATTTTACTATTATGGTATTCGAATGGTCACATCGGCATAGGTCCATATCACCTGTCCTCATCTGTCCAGGTACAAAGTGATCCAGAAAGAGTGAAAGTCCGTTGGGTTGTTTGCAAGTTTGTGTGCGAAAAAAATTACGAGCGAAAAACGAATTTTAAAAAGAGTTTGCATGTTTCGACCCTCATCGTAGCTCCGGAATAATGCCCTACTAACCGGATTTCCTCTTTTAATGTGTACTGCGAAATTTTTTTTACTAGTAATCTACTTGAAAAAATGTTAATATTCACTTATCTTTTTGCCAGGGTCACCCTGTACGAATAGCATCCAGTGAAAGAAGCGTATATTTTCTTTTTCATTGAGACACTTGCGCAGCACCATATACTTACATTTCATATGCGAACGTTGCATTCGTAAGTTTTCATATTGTTGCCGTACTTAGTCCTTCCGGAAAAAATATCGCAGTGAGAAAATGATAGAAGTTTATTTTCTTCTCGAGCCGCGTCTTTATGAAAACGAAGAATGTGGTTTCACCTTTTTGAGCTGATGGATGGTGGTGAGGATGCTCCGAAAAATTTAAATAACAACTATGAGGAGTTTAATAATGACATTTTAGACGATAGTCGATCTAATATTGGAACAGGGCACATGAGAGTTTAGTATAAAAATGTAATTGGTTAGACAAGAATTATTGGTAATGTCAGGTTTTGGTAGGGTTTATTGTTGCAAAAATTATCCAAAACTTCAGAAAACTGCGAACTGAAATTTGGCATGGACGTAGCTCTAAGACCAAACAAGGGTATATAAAGAAGTTGGTTTGATGATGCTAATGATAAACACACATTGCATGCGAAAATGATAAATGTCTGCGCATATTGAAGAGGGACATGTGGAAAGACTGGTCGATCGCCTGCTCGTTTGCGAGTCTCCGTCCCTCTCTCCTACTGTCTTAGGTGGAATACAATCATCTCCACTCCTTTAAGATTGAACAGGAAAAGATATCCACTACACTCGGTGACTTGTCTCTTTGGAGACGCATGACATCGATCATGGTATTGATCGGACCACTGGTCTCTGAGGAGACGTGTTTATAGCTTGCTCCATGTGTTCTGAATCGAAGCGAAACGAAGTAGGTTCAGCGGTCACATCTCTTCGCTCTCCTTGTACGAAGCTTTCGATTCCCTTCAGCTTCCGCTACCCTTCAGTTTCAACATTTCCCTTCCCTTAAAACCTGAATGGAATACGGGTGGAAGCTATTACGCCTGGGCGTAGCACACACTGCACCAATCCTTATGACGTGGGAAGAAATGTGGCGGCAGTTGGAACTCACTATCCGCAAAATCCCACCGGTAAGAAGAGCGCTGGAATTTTCATAAGGGTTGGTTAACCTGATGCAACCTTATCCATGTTTGTTTTGCTGTCATGATGGATGCGAGGCATACCCGTTGGATTGGATCATTGTCTTTTTCTCCTTCTCATCCTGCTTTGTAACCCTTCCAGTCAATAATTATTTCCAGCCTGTTTTCTAGGTTCTTTTGTGTAGAAAAGTTCCACTCGACTAGTAAGTCAGCCTCTAATTTAAATACTTATTCATACTAATTGTTTTTAGGCAACTAATTGGTTGCCGTAATTACCGTTAGGTTGACAATGGATCGGATCCCTTGCTTCATGGCATGTGCCTCATAAATGACTTTATGAGTGAAATGCGTTTAAAGTGATGAAAACTTATTTCAACCCTAATACTCGATTGAGCACGGAGTGAGCGAAAGAGTTAAAGGGAATCGGATTCCGTTCGCTAATGTAGCTTGGTAGGAAGGTTACAACGTTGATGAATCCATCTCAGCAGTTAAAAGTAACGAGCTAACGGAATGAAGAGGAAAGAGGGCACCACGAAAGTTACAATCGCGCATGCGTCTATGACGTATTGTTTCATTCAATCCGGATTGACCAGATTTGTGCTTTGAAGGGATGGAACCCAGAATCCAGATCGAACCCGGATTCGATCTGAAACACATCCTGAGCTGTAAACACGCATATTGGACATGAATGGGCATAGGCATGAGTAGAAGTCGTCTCGTGCCTTTCATTGTTGCCTCCCATGTGCCAGTACTCTCTCGAATCAAGAAATATGCACGCTAGCAATTGCGCTAGCGGGAGGTTTCATTACCAGCAGGTATATGCATATACATATACTGTGTATATTTTTATTTTCACCAAACAGCCATTCAATTCTTGAGATACCTAATAACTCTTTCTCTGTGAGAGATAGATTCCTTTAGTAGTCCTTTCATCGAAATTGATGCTTGCGTCTTTGCTCTCGAACGACACGTGTGTATTGATGCGTTCATCTGTATATTGGAGTATCATTTTTTGCAATACTTGATACCTCATGAGACTAACACCAGGATATGTTTGAATCCGCTGATGACACCGGTAACTTCGTTTTCGAACCTGAATTTGTATAAATTGGTTGATGGGTTGCATGTAGAATTTCGATAGCTGTTCTCGTGGGATAGCGGAACGCCTACGAGTGCGGGTTGTCCGAGACCTTATGGTAGCATTCTCTTATCTTTTAGAAGTGAACAAAATAAACCCTCAATAGGCAGACGCTCAGGGCGAGCCGAGTCAGTCGGTAACCCATTTTTTTGGGCAACTAGTTTCAGAAGCGTCGACTTTTGGGTGGATATTTTGCTTGAAGGAAGAAGATTCTCATGTACTTTCGGATTTGTGAAGGTGTTTTGGTGGATGCAAATGGAACTTGGTGGATTGGCAGGTCTTGGGGATCTTGAATAAGGGTGTGCTCCAATCTTGGTTCCAGGTCACTTCTTCGAAAGACACTTATTCGACGGACACTTCCTCAACTAGACTTCGACTAGATGGAAAGGCTTTCGTCGAAACGTCCAGTCGAAGAAGTGTCTTTCGAAGAAGTGGCGTCGAAGAAGTGTCCGTCGAAGAAGTATCTTTCGAAGAAATGACCTGGAACCCCAATCTTGAAATTCATCCATAAACTTAAACAAGTCTTAGGGGTGGGAAGTTGCACGGGAAAGGACTACATTGCATTGTGAGGCACTATGAGGTTTATGTGGCACTATCGTGTCTTATAGGTGCCCATCAAAAGTTAACTGTCTGCGTCATAATCAGAGAAGGGAAAAATTCCTTTGGAATTCGAGCCGGCGATGGAGAGGACATAAGATATTCATGAGAGGATAATAGAGTTGCCACACAGGGGGCGTTGCATCCTTCTTCATTTGTATTTCATCCGTCATTGTCATCTGGTAGAGGATATACAGGAACTACTGGTTCCTCTCCTCTGACAGTTCGATAAGGATCGCCATGGCTTTTTATCTTCCCTTCTCATCGTCCTCAGGTGACCAGTGAAATGATTCAGACGCGTGTCTCTATACAACCCCAAACGCTCGACTTTCTTCTCTTCGTTCTCCTTCCATCAGGACTTGGTAGAATTCCCTGCCTGGAATGAAGCTCTTTAGTCCTCAGGCCTACACTTTATAGCTATTTCTGACATTCATGTCTTGGTAACGGTATTGATGAAAGTTTCGTTGTAATAACCATTTCGATAGTAAAAAAAAAAAGTGCATGTGCATCCATGATGAAAAGAAGAGGAGAGGGTGTGCACAAGCAAATGAGGATGACCATTTATTATTTGGAGAACTTCACCAGAAAAACGATCTTGGTAATAGCATAAAATTCGACACATTCTTTGTAGAGTAAATTCGACCTAGACTTGAAATACCAAACAGACAGCCTCTCTATGATTCTGGAAGGACTGAGTCACATAGCAATCATCACCATTCCCTAGAGTGCATGGGGATGAAAGCTACTGCATTTCAGAATTGTGTCAGAGTATTCCATTCTGCAGTTTGTGGATCGAGTCTATATCCCAAGTTAGACTTGGTCGATTTCCAGTGATTATTGTATGAATAACAAACAAAGTTAACAGTGAATATATGAAATTATAAAAGCATAAATCATGGACGACGTGCAATAGATCGACAATAATTTATTTTAAAATTTAAATGCATTGTGTGCTCCTAAGAGGACCTATCTGAGTTGATATTACGATCAAACTCGGTTACAATGTCATAGAAGGGATTGGAAAAAATCGTCGTTATAGCCGCGGTTCCTTTTAACCGAGGTTGCTATTTTCCACATTGTAGGAAGAAATGAGCTCGGAAGTCCGTGTTCGCGGCCGACCCCTGCTACGAATTACTTATTGCATTTACCATTAAATCTGTCTCTCATCTCCTTCGTGAAGGCTTGCCACTTTCGCTTTTCACAATCGCGGTGTCAACAAGAAATATGAATAGGAAATGCAGATTTGGATAAGTCTTGGAGACTAGGCATTTTCCTCTCCTCCATCCTCAAGCTCACTGCACGCATAGGGGAGCCTCCAGGAATCCAAATTCCTGAAGAAGCAAAGAAAGTTAGGGGTCACTGATCATTGTGCCCAATAGTGGAATTATGAGTTATTGAGAAGCATGAAGACAGATTAAAACCTTCATAACGTGACCAATTTGGTCAGTGGGACAAAAATTTACTTCGCTATAAGCAAGGTCTTCTTATAACCGAGTTAAATTTTAATTTTTAAGCAGAATTTTGTAAAAAATAAAATAAAATAAAAATAAAAATAAGTACATTCAGTTTGAATCGATCTGGTGACACTCCCCCATATAAATGAACTGACCACTATGAACATCGGAAAGCAGAATTGGAAAATTCTATTTTTATTTGTTGTGTTGCAGAGGCAAGCAGAGTCTGAGAGGGAAGGAAAAGATGAGACATCGTCCAGAGTATGACAGTGACACGATGAGCATCTCGGGTCTGTCCCGTTACACTGGGTTCGCCGGGAAGCGCTCCCGATCATTCCCCATCTCTTCCGCGGACACCTTGTGCAACCTCGCGAAAGAAAGACCTGCTGAGACGACTGCGTCCGGTGTCAATGTGAATCTGTGCATCGACGATCAACAGGTCAACCATGAAACAGGCCAGCCAGTGAAACAGACCTGCCGCGCAACAGTGTGTGTTGTTGAAGCGGATAAAAATTCGTATGATGGCGTTACTGGTGAAAAAGTACGTATCGACGATGCGGGCCACCCACATGCAACTGCCACCGATGGCTCGACAGTGGCCCATGATGACCTGGGAATGCTGTCGCCGGCGAGAGCAAAAGATGACTTGGGAGCCCGAGATAGCGGGAACAGTAGCGAAGGTCCCTTCCGCGACAATGAATGCAGCGTCATCCCAGGACCCCGTGTCCAAGTGACGCGTTCCTCCCTGGGCCTGTCTCCGGCTGAGGAGAACGAGTACAAGCGTCAGTGGCTGAAACGAACCTTCACCCTCTATCAGCATTATTACCCTGAAGGGGGCTGGGGGTGGGTCATATTGACCTGCAACCTCTTCGTTCAAATGCTCACCTATGGACTTCAGCTCTCCTTTGGCATCATCTTGCAAGTCATCTGTCAACGCTTCGACGTCGAAAACGTCGCCTTTGCAGGTACGTTCACTCTTCATGTTATGGTAGATATGGGACCACCACGGTGTGCAATTTTCCTGTTTGTGTCCTAAAACACACTTGAAGACATCCTCTATCAGTAGGGATTCAACCGTGGACCGACTGTCAATTTTTTTCCCCTTGGAATCTTGGATTTAACTTGTGACAGTCAATGCTCATGTAAAACGAGTGCCCCCCCCCCCCCAATATATTCTAGAATCACAGAGGGGGAAAATCCTCTCCTTTTCAATGAAATCAACCACGGGGGTCCCTTTATATTATCAAGGACGCCCTGCAAAGAAAGCGACAGCTCGAAATCGACCGAAAAAGGCATGCTTTCATGCAACATGACGAATCTTGGATTTCTCCCCGGTAAGTGCCTGGAACAGATCCAACATGACGAAAATGAAAATAGTACAAGGAGTGAACGATTTTCAGAATGCATTCCCGCGATCCTTTACGCTTCCTCAAAGAGGCACTGCAGTCGCGCTAGAACATTGTATCTTCATTTATCAATATGTCGACCTGGAACGCGCCCCCCCCTCCCCCCACCCCCCAAAAAGCAGCCATCTTTTATGCCGATTATGGGGTGTCCAATTCCCCCCCACGAGAGATACATTCATCAGATGGTATGCAACTGAGTCTTACTGAGTCTTGTTAGACCTGATGAGGAATGGAGCGGTGCCACTGTAATTCTTGTGCCTCTTCCCCTGGGGGATTTGTGGCTCTTGCCCTTCACGTGTTACACAAGATCCTTTGCCAAGTCTTGAGGCTCCATGTCTGCTTTTACTTTCAAGCATAGTTTGCAGCTAAAGTCATGAAGATGAAAGTAATTGCAAAGCCTACATTTTCTCCTCGTTTCTCCGCCTTCTATTTAGTGCGACTTTAGATCCTATTCTTTAAATAAAAAAATGAGGCATTTTTGCTTTGTTTCCTCCACGCTCAAGATGTTCTAGACATTAACCCAGGGGTATTCAAAGTGCGGCCCACTAAGATTAACTAATAGTTGACTTTTATTGAACCGTTTTATCGACACTCATGAATAAGCGCGATGAACACATTTTGTATATTCCACATTTTAAATTATTCGCTGAAAACTAGCAAGTTTAGTCATTGTTAAGATATTCAGATATTTATTATACATGCTTACATTTAAATGCTTGTGTTTAGGTGTGCACCTGCTGAACCTGCCTAAAATTCGGAGCACTCACATAATGCAAAGAAAAATGTATTTCCTCGCAAGAAAATGAAGTTAAGAATAAAAAAAGGATTATTTAGCGAAAACAACTTGTAGCAAAGCAGCACATATGCGTTCACATGAGCTCCGACTCCAAGCAGTCAGTTTCCGCGACTACGAGAGGTGAAAGTGCGTGTGGATGCGGCAGGAATACACAGTTTTCGATTACCACTCATTTTAAAGGGGACTTCCTCGTTTAGAATAGCTTGACTAAGAGTTCGATGGCCAGTTAAAGGATTAACCATGTAGAAAAGTTGGATCTTTTTCAATGCGGCCCACTTAAGGTAGACCAAAGTGTCCATGAGGCCCTCGCCTCAAAAATTTTGGAGACCACTGCATTAACCAAACACTTATTGAAACTGTCCGGGGGCAAACCCTTGTAGGGGTCTACGTGATTTCCACGTGCTCGCGTTTTGTAAAGCATGTCGTACAGCAGAAATATAACTTGAGACTACATTTTAATAAGAACCGACTGCATCTGTAAGTCCATCGAAACCGAGGGAGAAAACTAAAAGGTTGCCTAATATGAATGGCACAATTGATTTTTTTTTTCGACTGAAATTCTTCCCTGGTATCATTTGTCATACTTTTTTTTAATGGCCTGAGGCACTATGATCACACCTCGTAAGTCCATCATGGAGTCCCTCGATCACATTAGAATGCGACGTCGTGTCTTGCTCCTTTGTTCGAGGTAAAAATTGCGTAAAAGGATCCGTCTCTGTCACCCCGCACGGAATTGCACATGTGATATCGCGAACCCCCATTGTGAGCATCATCTCTATGCTCCGTTCTTCATCGCATTGCCAGTTTCGGACTCGTCGAGGATGAACAATGAAAAGTTCACTGCGTGATAATGTGGCACTTTCTTTGCATAAGGCGTATATTTGCCTCTACTCATATTTACGACCCTTGGGGTCATAGTACCTATATTTCGCAAACCACGCATAAATTAATTTATTTATTCTTTTCATTTTATAAGTTTAGATTCTTTTATCATTTGATTTTTTTTTCGGTCGGATTGGCAGTTATAATAATATAAGCATCATATCCATTATTACTATTACCATGATATTTTAATATTACTTATAAAACTCCTTGAGTGATAAAAGGTATGCATCATGTAAGTATGACAGCACTACTTCGATGTTATTATCAATAAGTACTTCATGAGCAATTGTAAAAGCTAAAGAGAGTATCTGTTTGATGAAAATCTGTTCTGCCAAGAAGTAGCATATGGTCATGGTCTTTTACAATATACAAGTATTCATATATTCATGTCGGGAAAGCGAGTGTGAATGTGGCATGTAGACCCAGAGAGAGAGTGGGGGGGATCTCCTGTAGTCATAGGCCATAGCCCGATTTTTTTGGAGTCCATTAGAGAACTCATTATGTCAGCTGGGGAAGATCGATCGATCCATGGCTCCTTCGCCCTCTCACACTATCTGCTCGACATCCATACCACAAACAGCTGTTTCATTCCTATATTTTACCTACGTGCCTTCTATCGCAACCAAATAGATATGTTTTTAAATAGATACCGCCATCATTCATCTCTTCACAATTGAAAACTCGGTTTAAATTACCTTTTCGATAGAGGCTTTTCTTTCCTGGTTCATGTGTCAATACAATATTATTAGCTTATTGTGTCTTCAGTACGTGTAGACAGAAGGAAGCTCAGCAAATTTTGCGAATAAACTGAAAATCAACAATGTCAATATAAGAGGAGTGAGAAATCTGTCTGAGTTCCGGGAGGGGGAAGAGCAAAAAACAGAGACGCTAGATAACATTTGAAAGGATTTAGACTTTTTATGACCGAATTTGGATCCATCCATCCATCCATCGGGAGGAGATCGAACGCGAGGGAAGAAAGATAGAGATGAAGGAAGGGGTCGAGAAAGGGCTTTGATTATCAGATGGTGACAAGGAAGATAATTTGCATGACATTAACAAGTCTCCCATGGCCTTCGTCTTTTTCTCTTTTGAACATAGGAAGATTGGTTATCATCACGCATGCCTTGCTTCATACGAAGAATCAGATCACCCGTCTCATGAGAATGTTGTGTATGGTAGGTTCGAAAGACATGAAAATAAACAGCATGTTTTTCTGTGCTTCCAAAATAATGCAATAAAGAAGAAGAAATGGGTCACATGATTCCACGGATTACAAGGTATACAGGATCGAGAATAGTACAAAGGATGTCTTGATGGAGCATTCTCCCCCAATTACAGTCGCATTAGGGATAGTTTCAACCATGTTCGAGTATGCAATGCACGTGTGACTACCCTGCCCACGCGACGGGTGTGGCATTCGATTACGATATGGATTGTGTCACCATTCCCTCATTCCTGTGTGGCCTCATTGTCACAACTCTTCGCGCACGCATTATTCATGAAATAACTCATCCAATGCAACCATCTTTTTATTTTTTAGATTTCCGTGGTAAAGGTTGCGGGAATCCATTGTAGGGCTCTTATCGTTCCCTTGTGCTCCTCGACGGCCAGCTTGCAATATGAACAAAATCCTAATTGATGATCGATATATCGATTGACGATATTCAGGACAACCTTAGAGAAAAGCATTTCTTCTTCCTCTACTAAAAAAATTCAGCTCAATTGCGCATCACCTGCTTGACCTAGTTCTTACATGAAAAGCAATTGCATTTAAAATACAGAATAAAAATAGAACTCGAAATCAGAAAAGAAGTGAATAATAAATAACCATTTTAAATGACAAAATTACATTTAAAAAGCAAGAAATGAAAGTGATAGTTTCATAATAAAAAAGAATCATGATATGCTGAAGAGGTTCATAAAATATTCATTACTGGCGGATATGAACAATATGTTGGCTGATAACCGATACATAAAAAAATTAGTCGATTAGTCGATATACCGATAATATACCAATATTGGCTGTATATATCGTTTTTCGTTCGTTTTGATTAAGTTAAATGAATATGTATGAGCAGTCTAGATTCTTTGAAAAGTGTGAAAGAATGCAAACGTGTGCAAATTAACAAACTTATGTATGACATTTAGGCCGCAATTTTTTAAACAACCGCCTGTATGTGAGACGTTCAGGCCTCACAGACTACTAAGGACAATGAAATTCCTTCATCGTGCAGCAAGGAACGCCGAGCACATCGAAGTAAGAGAAAAGCAAGGCGAAAAAGAAAAGGGGACGGAGAAGATATCAATAGGATCCCTTGCGAGTGATGGATAACCCTTTTGTGAGCTTCATTTCCTTCCTGACTTCGTTCAACGCTATTTTTAGTTCGGATTCACTTGTCTTTGCCCAAGTTCTTCGCCCCGACGTCATTTTGCCGATGGAACCGGGTGTGAGAGAATCCCATCTCTTCCAACATGCTATCTGTACGATCAGGTTCAAGTTATAAATGGACTCATGCGTCTCCTATCGTGATCACCTGCCATTATTATAATAGGAGATCATTTTCACGGGACGAACAGCTTTGGGGCCTTGGAATCCCATCAACTGAAGATAGAGCTGTCGTAGCCTTAGGCTTTCTAAAGTCAGTGGTCGGGGGAAAATTGACAACGGATTGATCCGTACAGACAGAAATGCTCGAAAAAAATCCCTCATTCAACGGATCTTCCTTCTGGCAGCTTGAAAGAACAGGACCCCCCAAGGTCGACATAAGCTGATGTATGCCGACCACACACACTTGTGCTGGACTGATTTTTTCTTACTGCCTTCAGGGCTGTGTGGGTTTCGTCTATTGACGTAATAGGGGTTCCTGACACCCGCATAAATTTCAACCCCTCCCTAATACGCCTTTGTTTCCGCTTCCTGGCAGTTTGGATCCCTTAGGGGCTCAT